GTAGCCATTCGTGAGATGGATCCTATTTTGGCTTACGCTCGCGAAATGAAAACATGAATCCATTGATAAGCCACACGTACCTATAAATTCATAATATTTTGCATATTTTAGGTTGTATTTATTCGTAGACATTTTGAAATGTCGTCATTAGGTTTCTGGAAGGGGATGAACGGATAGTTTTTGATTAACGATTTACTATGCTTACGATGACTCTAAAGCTTTTACAAGATTTCAAAGCATTCAATTTTGCAGTTTCAAAGTTAAATTGTACAATGTTCTTATAGATTTTTTTTTTCACAAATCTAAATGCCTAGAGTAAAAAAAACTCAAGATGTATTCATAAACCACAAGTGCAGGAGTATCATTTATAAAACTTAAAAATAAAAATCAAAATTTTGTAACAGTTTCAATTTAACTTTGAAACCGCAAAACCGAATGCTCTGAAATCTTACACACGTTTTATGGTTATCGTAAGTAAGTCATCAATCAATATTTATAAGTTCATCCCCTTTCAAAAAAAGTTCATGACGCCATCTGAAAATTTTACCCACTAACTCTGAAATATGAGTAATATTAAGAGTCTATGCTTGTGATTTATCAATGCATGCATATTTTTTAGAATTTGCATGCAAAATTTAATGAATAAAGCTACATATTTTATTGCCCGTCCCATTTTCCTGAAAATTTGATAATACAGTACTATCATTTCATTACACTGCACGTATTCAAATTAATATGATTGTACATGTCCTTGCTAAAACGTTGAAGACGTCATAAAAAAGTTTTTGCACTGGTAAACTCACTTGAAACATATGCATTTGCATACAAATATTTTAATAAATTAATCATGCTTAAAATTCGCCTCCGATAGTGTATGCTTCTCAAAGGGTCATACAACTTTGATCTGCAAGTTTTTTAAGATTAAGATATTGAGAACCGCGCTTAGTGACTTAACCCATATACACATAAGTATTTAGGTATTTAACTTAATCACTGCTAATTATAGATAACTAGATGTATCCACTTATAATCTAGGTATAAATACATACAATAAAACAAATGTAACTGTTTTTTTGAAAATGTGTTCAAATGGGTAGTATTTGTCAAATTTGACACAAACCAAATTAATTGAATAACTTCTAATTATATTAAGTAAGTATGTTTGTTGTATTTGATACGTAAACCAATTTGACTTAATATTATACTAAATAATGAATTAGTCAAAACCTTGGTTGCCACATTTCTCAGAAATATGAATGCATTGTACACCACAAGTAAAGGGTGTTCAACTGAAAAATCACTCAGACTAGGCGTTGGAATGTCATTTGACACAAATTACATGTCTATTCTTATAACGGCGTCACAAAATTTTGTTAGCAAAAATTCACTTGAAATATACGCATAGCATTGTTTTTATTCTCGAGCGTAAGACTTAGAAAAGCATAGAGTTAGAGAGAACTATAAAAAACAGAAACGTAAACATTAAGCTAGGTTAAAAGAACCGGGCTAAGTTGTGTGCCCCTATGACAGCATTATGAATAAAATGTGGCTGAGCAGAGAGTTGTTGGGGCTTTCCTGGGTCTCACAACCAATTCCATATTTATCGGTTATCAACATATGATTGGTTGAGAGACAGCATAGGCAAAATATGGTGCACATTAAAGGTGTGCGATAAATGCACTCAGTGATTATTTCACTGAGATTCGTTTCTCACTGTTGGTGACCGTGACTGCCATCGGTAAGTAACGATGACTATGATTTTCCTTTCCCACAACAGTTTCATTTTCATCTTTTTTACTTTTAGGATCAGGTACCGGTTACCGGCTATAATTACCTACTTTTTCATTCATTCAGCCAATAACTTAGTAAATGATCCTCAATGGAGAATATTTAATGCGATAGGTATTCAATCGCTTTTTTCATAATACACAATTCCTTGTCAGAAGCATAATCACCATTGCCATCTAAAATCACTGTGATTTAAAAAGAACAATCCCATGGATGACTAATCAATTGATGCTGATTATGATCATAGTGGGCGCTGTGACCTTGAAATATCAAAACTTTGACATAGGTATAGTCTTTGCCATTACTATTGAAACATTTCTATTGTTAATCGTAAATTGGGCAACGTTCATATTTAGACAATTTTCTAACTAAAAGCCGTTGTTAATCAACCGAAAGCTGTTACCAATTGCTAAATTTTAAGCAAAATCAACAGGCGGTGTTTCAATAGAAATGGTAAACATTGTTAAATGGCATGACGGATCGAGTGACCCCTCTCTTGAGAGTTTGTTTCATTTTACACATCATATCAAAATTTTATATTATATTAAAAAATTGTAATTATTATTAGTATTGTTAAATTTTTCTTGAAAGATTATATATGTATATAATGACAATTTTTAAATGTCGTTTCAGTGACTGAATCAAGAAAATCAAGATATGTCATTTAAAAACATTGACTTACCTTAATTTCTGCGAAAACATACCACAGTGGATGTATTTTGATTGGTATTAGTGTATCAAAACTCATAAAGTTATTACTACTAAAAAGTTGATAGATATCGCAAACTGGAACATGTTTTGATTTTAAAAGACGCTTCATACGACCGTAGTCACATCACGCAGACGGTGGAAATTCAAAGCAACTCTCTTTACAATAATCGTGTAATAGCTAAGGTTTAGTCTTCTATTAAAAATCAGTCTCGTCAAGTGCAATTGTATTTATTTTCTTAATACATTTTATACACTAGTTAATTACCAGTTAATTCAATTATTACTAAATATTTTATTTAATACATTTTTTTTTTTATTTTGGTGTACGACCGACTGTGCTAAAACTGGAATAAGATTTAGAGGTGAACTATTAGTTAGCAGTATTTTGTGATGCATTCCATTAGTTAACTCCCCCAACAACAAATTATAAACCATACAACACTTATAGTGTTAACAGCAAAATGCATTACCAAAGCCATGTCCGCTTTCAGGTTTTTTATCTGTAATATATTTATTAAAGCTGAACCTTCAAACACAAATTTCCTCCTAGTTTTCCAAAATTCTGTAATGTAAGACGTCAAATCTCAAAACAGTTATGTAATTTTAAATATAGCATTTTATGGTCAAAATTCTGAAATTTGGACTGCCATGAAGAAATGTTTTAGCACATTATACATAAAAAAACTATACGTTTTTAGCAGTTCCTAAACTCAGTAGATTTTAATCCTTTTTTCTGTCGAGCATAAACTCGTTGTTCTTGGAAATTTTTTAATTTAGTGGACTTTAAGCTTTCTTCCTTGTGTAAAGCTAGTTGCTTTAAAGCGAATTGTCCATATAATTATGACATGAGATGTACCTAAGAAAGACGGGGTTAAATACTCGACAAATACAAAAACAAAAAGCAAGAACGTAATTACGTGATTAAAACTTGGCGTTCCTCATCTGGATAAGAACTGAAACTACAGAATAAACGGTTTTACATATCTAAAAGAAAATATTTAAATGTTGCAAATGTTTTGCATGTTATGTACCGAAAGCCCTAAGGCATAATTAATAGCAATATTTTCACTAAATTTAATCTTAAAAGTCATCATGTGATTTGCAAGCATTATTAAGTAGATTTTTTTATTTTCTTCATTCCAGTTGTACCACTTCAAAGTGCAAAGTTCGTTAAAAGCCATAACTGACTAAAATAAAAAGCATTTTTTAAAACTTAAACTCTCAAAATTTGTAGGTGTACGTACCGAGTCTTCTAAATTTTGACCTACAATAATAACAAATATACCAACCAAAATGCCGGTAATAAATATTGGTATCATTTTCACATATAAAATAAAATTAGCTTCAATCTGCAATAAGTATATACATAGTTTCAGTTACAAAAAAATAATAGTGACTATTAGCTATTACTTACTGGTTATAATGTTGAAACTTACCGTCAGCAATAAAAACAACATACTTATAAATAGCAGTCCTCCAAACAAGGAATAACTTAAAATTAAGGGCCAGATTTTTCTAATGACAAAATTTCCATAACTAGAAATTTGTAATTAGTGCCTTTATATAAAGAAAAAATACTTACTTAATTAAATTATTTTGACGTAAAATGACAAACGTAAGATTGTCTTTAATCTGTTGTTGATGCTGCTCACATCTACAGATCGGGCTTTTACACAAAGCGTCAATTTTTCGAATACAATTCACTGTTACTTCTATTTGATATTTGATGTGATATGAACCATATATAAACTGACAAAAATTTGCTAGTCCAATATATCCATAACAAGCAGCGTTAACTGAAAAGATTACAGCGATTCGATTTTTCCAAGCAGGTAACATAAAATCTTTGATCAAACTATATATTAAATATAAATCTTCGTCCTTTTCACTGGGGACCATAACAACAAACCCACTCAAAATTCCCAAAAGTAAGAGAGAAGTTATAACAATGGTAATAATTTTTGATTCTTTTTTTATTTTTATTAACATTTCGTTTTTTTTATCTTTAGGTAGGTAAATTCTCATATCTTTTAACTTTTTGACACCGTCCATGCCTACGAACAAAATTCCGCAACAACTAACAGTCACCTAAAACGTTTTCCATCAAACACACTTTTGTATTGCTCTGATTAATTGTCGCAGTACACTTACAAACTATATTATGACACATGTAGGAGCATACTGAATAAAAAATTTGAAGTCAAACTTTTGCAAAAATAAATATACTTGTGCTAGTGTTATTAGCAAACTAATGTATATGGTTATCACCAATAAAATCTTAATCAGTGTGGTTTCAAATATGTCGAAACAAAGAAATCTGACGAATTTAAGGCAGTCGTCTAAAAATTTCTTGCAACATTATTATCATTTGATTATATCAAAACTTACTTTTGGGATAGTTACTAACTCCAAAATCGCAGCTAGTGTCATTTTTGTAATTGAGATTGTTTATTCGATTTTTCAAGATTTTTTGCATTGTGAAGATTAGGTAATATTTTTAGGTTTTTAAAAGGCAACCTCCACTCGTGAAGATTTCTCAAACTTAAGTGCCTAACAAATACCTACGTCATAAATTACTGGAAATATTCGTTCTTAATTAACTATAAGGCCACGTACTCAACAGTAATGTGATATAATTCCTGATACTTAATTACAACTAAGGTAGGTAGTTATTGTCGCACTGTAATACTAATTAACGTAAGCAGGGTACTATCACGGCCAAAAAAATGGAAACACCTAAATTGCTCATATCATCGATTTTTATTTAATTTTTCTTTTGCATTTGTTTATTTTGTGTCTGCTTTAGAATGAACTCCTCTGATTTTCTGATGTCTTTTACCATCAACGTGGCAGAGAAATTAAATAAAAATCGATGACATGAGCAGTTCAGGTGTTTCCATTTTTTTTTGGCCGTGACAGTACATGCAAATTTGATATTGAAATTAATAAGAACTTTATCGATAATTTAATGATTATATCTACCCATTTCCTTATTACCAGTTAAATCTTCTATCATGGTTCTCTCAAATCCATTGACATAAACCACTAGATTATACCAGTTATCACTGTTTAACTAACAACAGACAGTAACGTTGTGAATGAGTTAATATGCAATGCTCTCCGTTTTCGGTGAAAAAGGTAGAGTGTACCTTGGCATCAACCGGTGCGTTTTGCCCGTATTAACCGGAGGACATCCCGACATCCCCCAGGCATTAACCGGAGGATTACCGTCCCGACAGACCATCCCCCAGGTATCAACCGGGGGATCTCCCTTTCCGCCCTCCAGGTATTAACCGAAAGACTTCCCGACATTCCAGAGGTATCAACCGGGGAATATCCCATCCGGCACCAGGCAGTAACCGGAGGATTACCGTTCCGATCGACCATTCCCCAGGCATCAACCGGGGGATATACTTTTCCGCCCTCCAGGGATTAATCGGAGAACTCCCGTCCCAAGTGACCTTCCTCCAGGCATCAACCGGGGCATAACCGACACGACCTAGCGCCACTCGGCATTAATCACAACCGCCGTCCACCTTTTGTACGTGGAGCATATGCTTGCGTCCATGATTGCTGTGTATATTGTGTGTTGAATAAATATTTTCCTACCATTAGTGGTTTTCTGTGAAGTCCTGGAAGTTACCGTCTTCGACCGACTACCCCAGCACCGAAAAGGGAAAAAACCCGTTACAAGTTAAATCAATGATTTTTCGTATTTGAATTCAAGATGCCAAGTGAATTTGATCGATGTTCAGTCTCAAGTGGATGGAGAATTTAAATTTATCTCAGTTTATCGAGATCATAACCAAATTTGTATACCGTTAGAAGTTTTAAAACTAAACAAGCATCAGAACAACTTCTTGACATATTTTTATTATTTGGTGCCCCATCACCAACAATGGTATGACGTAATCTCCAACTTTTACAACAGTAAATGTTATTTAAATTTTATAACATAATATACTCCTCTATTTGTAGTTTTTATGAACCGGGTTTTTACGCCAGGCTTCTAGATTTTTGAAGAAAAAAATCAAAAATGTGTTACGACGTTTTACAGTTTAACTTTGAAATCGCAAAATCGAATGTTCTGAAATCTTACACACGTTTTATGGTTATTGTAACCACAGTAAATCATTAATCAATATTTAATAGTTCATAACGTCATCTTAAAATTTTACCGAATAAATCTGAAATATGCATAATACTGAGAGTCTATACCTGTGGTTTATCAATGCAGTCATATTTTTTAGAATTGCTTATCCAAGGTGACACAATAGTTATTTATGCAACTAGTGAGTAAAGTGTATCTTTTTTTTTACGAGAAGGAAAATTTGCCGCACGAGCTGAAAGCGAGTCGCATACAAAATTTTTTTCGTGTTCGTAACAAAACTCAACACCCACCAACTTCAAAAACTTTTTATTTTGGAACATAGATATTAAATGTAGCCGTATTTGCCGTCTTGACAATTTTTTCGGGGGTCCACGAGAAATCTTCATCACTGTCCGATTCCATTGTCCGAGCACACAAATTACCACAACACACCGAGAAAATTAATACAAACTACTTGTGTTTATGAATTATCATAGCAACGGCAAGCTTATATGTTTTATTCCATTAAAAAATGACACGCTACGACACTTTTTTTCACCCAAATGCGTGAAAAAATGAAACGCTATGACACTTTTTTTCACGCTTCTAGTGCGATGAAATAAACGTATCCTTTATAAACAAAAATTAATAAAAAAACATTTAATGAATGTACATGTTTTCTTGCCCTCCCATTTTCCGTAGCATTTGAAATATAGTATTTTTCAAAAATCTAAATGCCTAGAGTAAAAAAAAACTCAACATGTATTCATAAACCACAAGTACAGGAGTATCATTTATAAAACTTAAAAATAAAAATCAAAATTTTGTAACAGTTTCAATTTAACTTTGAAATCGCAAAACCGAATGCTCTGAAATCTTACACACGTTTTATGGTTATCGTAAGTAAATCATTAATCAATATTTATAAGTTTATCCCCTTTAAAAAAAAGTTCATACCGTCATCTGAAAATTTTCCTACTAACTCTGAAATATGAGTAGTATTAAGAGTCTATACTTGTGATTTATCAATGCATGCATATTTTTTAGAATTGCATCCAAAAAATTTATTGAATGAGGCTACATGTTTTATTGCCCGTCCCATTTTCCTGAAAATTTGATAATACAGTACTATCATTTCATTACACTGCACGTATTCAAATTAATATTATTATTATTAATATTATTAGAGTAAGTTGGTCAACAGGCACTAGTCCCAATTACAGACCAACAGATACATACAGAAGGTATAGATGTATAAAAACTACTGTCAAATTCATTACACAGCTATAAATTACCGCCTGACCCAGAAAGGTTAAATCATGACAATAGGACAATTAGACCGTTGGAAGAAACGCCAGAGAAAGTAGTTATCAGTGTATCACATGAAAACATCGAAAGTATTTTGATATTGATTGTACAGGGTACACATTTCAAATATTGGAGAGTGCTTTTCAATGTCAATACGAGGAGTTGGTAAGTAAAATGAGTAATGGTACCGGGACGAAGGTCTCGGAACAAAAAATGACAATTTACTAAGGAGATGAGGACAATCAATTTGAAAGTGTATTAGTTTATGGAGAAAATTCAAAGAACCCCTAATGCGTCTTGTCTGTAAGTCGTCAAAACCAAAACGTGCCAACAGTGTGGAATGGGAAGAGCCCCTTGCGGGATACACGCCATCAATTTTAAAAACCAAGAATTTCAGGAATCGCCGCTGAATCTTTTCCAAACAGTTAATATGTATTTGAGAGAACGGAGCCCAAACCACGCTCGCATACTCAAGCACGGAGCGCACATAACAAAAATATAGAATGCGCAAGCAAGTAACATCATGGAAGCTACCGCCGCATCTCAAAATAAAACCGAGAGATTTATATGCACGTGCACAAATGTTGTTAATATGATTAACAAAGGTTAATCTTGAATCAAAGGTGACTCCCAAGTCCCGGAATGAATTAACCCTGGATAAAATAGTGTCATCAATGGTATAGCTGTACAGTATTTCTAAATTCTTATTGATAAATGACATTACAAAACATTTCCTTAAATTCACAGAAAGTAAATTAGTATTACTCCACTTACAAAAACGGTCCAGATCATTCTGTAATAAACGACAGTCATCCAAAGAAGAAATCCTTCTGAAAATTTTTAAGTCATCTGCGTATATAAGTGTGCTAGAATTAATTTTTTTCACAATGTCGTTGATATAAATAGTGAAAAAGAGAGGTCCAAGAACTGTACCTTGCGGTACACCCGATGGAACTAAAATCTTATTAGAAACATGACAATAATATTTAACACATTGGGATCGATTAGATAGATAAGACGATATTAAAGACAACAAGGAATCGGAGAAGCCAAAATTATGCAATTTAGCAAGTAAGATGTGGTGGTTTAGTTTGTCGAATGCTTTAGTAAAGTCGGTATATACCGCATCAACCTGAAACTTGGCATCAAAGCTACCCGAAACAAACTGAGTAAATGAACATAAGTTCGAAGTAGTAGATCGACCATTGATAAAACCATGCTGGGAATCAGTAATACTACTGCTAACATTAAATAATAAAAATTTATGTAATACCAGCTCAAAGATCTTACTGAAATTACATATTAACGATATTGGTCTATAATTAACCACATCATTTCTAGCGCCGCTCTTGAAAACAGCTGTTATAGTAGATAATTTCCAGATGTCAGGGAAAGTTTTTGTTTTTAAAATTAGATTAAATATTATGGTCAAAGGATAACACAGTCTGATAACAAGAACGCGATCCATATCAAGCAAATAGTGGCGCTGTGCCCGCTTAATGTCACATTTCAATTCAGATCGTAGTCTTCTGAAGTCATTGATCATCTCAGAGTTATTAATGTAATTAGAGGACCTTAATTTTCGTAGTAGGCGCCATTTACAGTTAAGTTTGCAAATTATAGAAGGTGTAAACCATGGGGGAAAAACAGACTTACGGACGAGACCCGTTTTAGGAACGTACAAGTCAAAACAAATCTTCAGCTGACTATACAAAAGAGTACAAGCCAGATTAACATCTGTAATATCAAGAATACATGACCAATCAATACGAGATATATAACTGTATAAGCCAGGATAATCAGCCCTAGGAAACGATCATTAGCATTTCTCACATTGTTAAACTGTTGACAGTCACAGAAATCAAGGAAGTTGAAAAGGTAAGATAATTTTCTGCTACCTAGAGAAGAAGATGGCAAGGTAGGTTGGTAATCTGAAATATTAAAATCACCGATGATAATAACCTGTTGATTATATAAGTTGGTAAAATTACCTAGTAAATTAAATAGCAATTCATATTCATCAACAGTTGCAATAGGTTGAATATAAACAACAAATATATAAATAGTGAAATGACCAGGCGCGGATCCAGGGGGGGGGGGGGGGCAATGGGTGCAATTGCCCCCCCCTGACACACGACCGAGGTACTTTATTTTGACCAATTTTAAAATTTTGAAATCATATTTCATTTTGTAAATACAGTACAACCTCTATAATCCGAACTAACGATTGTCTCAACATCCAGTAATCCGAACAGAAACTCTTCGGATTAAACAGTCGATGCCTCTTTAATCCGAACAAAAACTCTGCAATCCGAACTGAACTTGAAAACATGCATCTACTTCCAAAAATGACGCAAGATCTTTCTGCGTATGTTGTATGGAATATTTTGAAATTTTTAAAAATTCCGATATTTCAAAACACTGAATTAATTAACTAATTCTGGAGAAACGGATGAAGTTATCGGAGACCCGAAATCTACAAGAGAAAGTATTTGGTTAAATTTCGAACATCGTCGAAAATAGGTCGAAATTTGCATGAGAAAAATTTCATTTTTGAAAAATTTTCCTGAAAATTCTGAAAAAATTCAAGGATATATATCCCGACGTGCTGATTCCAAAAATATACCATGTTTATAGTAACGGAGCAATATTTTCGGAAAATTCGCTGTGAAATTAGAATTTTTCGAAATTTTTAAAAATTGCGATATTTCAACTGGACGATTCTGGAAAAATGGTTTAAGTTATCGAAGAAATGAAGCCAGAAGTGACTTCTGAGGTCCAAAATCTACAAGAAAATATATTTAGTTAAATTTCGAAAAGCGTCGAGAATGGGTCGAAATTTGCATAATGGAGGTAATACGAATACGTAATGGAAAATTTCATTTTTGAAAAATTCATCTAAAAATTCTGAAAAATTTCAGGGTATAGATCCCGGGGTGTTTATTCCAAAAAGATAGCGTGTTTATGGTCACGGAGTAATATTTTTTCAAAAAAGTATCTATTATCCATTGTTGCTTAAGAATTCTTTAATTTTTGTTTAATAAAATTTAGGTTTATTTCTTGAAGTTTATTTTCAGTTGTGTATGAAGTTGTTATTCAATTCCCTTTCAGATTTTTGCGAAAATTGCTGATTCGAACAAATCGTTAATCCGAACACACCTTTTTCCCAATTAGGAATTAGGATTATCGAGGTTCTACTGTACACTATACGTG